GAAAACTTAGAGTTTTAACAGTCACCCACATAGAGATAGTGTGGTTGTACGATAAGTAAGGGCAGGGGAAGAGGACCAAGGACATCCCCATTAAGGGAAGATGATGCAGAAAGGGAGTCTGGGGAGATGCCAGACATAGGAGGAGCCCCACGTGGTGCCACAGCAACAGGAAATGCTTCAGAGAATTAACAAATGCATAAGGTCAAGAAACCTGAAGGCTGAGAAAGTTGCTGGTTCCATGAATAAGGTATTACTCGTGACCTTCGAGACAAGAGTTTCAGCAGAATGATGGGGAAGACACCACATCACAAAGATCAGAGACTGAGCAGAAGGTGAGGTGAAGGCATCAAATGTATATTCTTTTGAAAAAGTTTGATGGAGTAGCAAGATGGGACGGGACATCATGGGGCAGCAGGATCCAGAAAAAAAGGTGATTTTTTTGAATGGGGAAACCTTGACATACAGGTATGGGAAGAAAAATAAATCCATGGAGAAAAGGAGGTGGACTGTACAGCACACGGGAGATTGAAGGTCTCCCAAAAGACAGGAAACAAGGGAGAAAGTGCGATAAGAACAAATGACCTTGGAAAGAACAGTTTTCCTCTGGGATAGCAGAGGACAGGTGAAGATTCAAATACCCTTAAGGGGTAAATTGAAGAGAAATATGAGAAGTTAAAGCCAGAACAATGTGATTTCAGTAAGGTAGAAAATAAGGTTATTTCCTGGTGCTTTTCAATTTAATAATAAATATTTGAGTGCCTAAAAGATGCATGTCACTACAGATACACAGATGGATAGTCTCTGCCTCAAGATCATATTTAATTAGTGTTTATAGTCCTCAAAGTTATTTCAACCATTATCACACATGATGCCCTCACTATTTGAGGAAGAAAAGGCAAACATCATTCCTTCTCAACCCCAATGTTAAGGATGAAACCAAAGGACATTAAGTGAGTTGGCCAAGGTCAACAGACAGTTTTGATGATGACACTTGGGCCAGAACCCAGTGTCAGTTCCTCTAGTTAACTGTCCCTAAAAAATATGATCTCTGTTATATCTTACTCCACAAATTAGTACCAGAACTTTACATAAATCGAATGGCTCTGTGAGATCTAACAACTACCATCAAATACAGTTGAATTGTCTTTGGGATTTAATAAAACAAACAGATCAAATTATTTCCACCTAGTATTTCCCAGAGCTTATGTAAAGTAGAAAATACACAGCTGGAAGCAAAGAGGGGTGGGGAAAAAATGAAAAATACAAAAAAAGAAAAAGTGTAAGAGACATATAGGACAATGTAAAAAATGTAAGGTATACATAGTCTGAGTCACACGAGAGGAGAAATAACTTGGTTAGAAAGAATATCTGAAGAAAGATTGGTCAAGCATTTTCTGAAACTGATGAATACATCAAGCCACAGATTCTAAAAGCCCTAAAAAAGGCCAAGCAGGATAACTTAAAAAAAAAATGGACCTAAGCACCTCACTGTTAAAACACCAAAAAAAAGAAGACATTTCCTTCAAAGGTTCATCAAGATTGACAGTTGACTTAATAGAAATAATGAATCCAGAAGATGATGGAATGACATCTTTTAAAGTGCTGAAACAAAATAACTGTCCACCTAGAATTCTATGCCCAGAGGAAATATCATTCTTCTATGGGCCAAATGTGTCCCCCAAAAGTTCATGTACTGGAAACTTGATCCCTGTAACAGTGTTAAGATGGTGGGAAATCCAATTATGGTATTTGAAAAGTAAAGCCTTTAAGAGGCGATTGGATTGGGACGACTATACTCTCATGAATGGAGTAGTCCGTTCATGGAGCAATGAGTTATCGTGGGTGTGGACTGGTGGCTTTATGAGGAGGACATAAGAGTGTTCTCTTGCCACTCTCACCATTGCCTGTGTCACCGCAGGATCTTCTGGGTTTCCACCCAAAAGGCCTTCACCAGATGTGTGCCCTGGATCTTGGATTGACCAGCCTCCAAAACTTTAAGAAATAAATTTCATTTATTTATAAACTACTCAGTTTCAGATATGATAAGCAACAGAAAATAAACTTATACATCTTCAAAGACGAAGGTAACATCAAGATGCTTAGAGAAAAATAAAAACTGAGAGGATTTTCTGACATTAGATCCAGATTAAAGGAACACCAATGGGAGTTTTCTCATCAGAAGGAAAATAATCTCAGATGGAAGCAGGATAATGCAAGAAGGAATGAAGAGTACCAGAGAATTTAACTGTAAAGATAAATCTAAGCACACATCCACTGTTTAAAACAATAATAATAATGATCAATGTCGTGTGGGGTTTCAAATATACACGGCATTAAAATACAATGTAACAGTACACAAAAGTCAGAAGAGTAAATGAGGTTGAGGTGTTCTACGGTCCTTTCATCGACCAGGAAGTGGTAAAAATGCCAATGCATAGTAGAGGCTAATAAGTCAAGTTGAATGTTGCCATCTCTAGGGTATTCACTAAAAAAATGTTTTTAAATGATTAACAAGCTAATAAAGAAACATGAATAATAAATAAAAATACTCTATAAATACAATATGTATGTAAAGCATGTAAAGTCAAGTAGCATCACAAGTTGATCGATTATTAGACTCACAGAATCCTGGCACTGGGAAAGTCCATAGAAATAACCTTGTCCAATATGAGGGTTTTAAGGCTTGGAGAAGTTAAATATCTACTTCAAGGTCACATAATTGTAACAATGCCACAACTTGGTCTCATCTTTCCTAATACACGAGGTTATCAATGAATTCATGGAGAGATTTGCATTATCTTTTAGTTCTACTTTTCCATGAACTTTTTGAAGTGCCCTGGTGTCTAGTTGAATATTTCTTCCATGTTGCTCTTTACCACTTGGCAGCAAGAATCTCAATTAAAAGAAAAGACACAAAGTATCTGAGTTTTGATGACCACTCTTTAGAAGGCCTCATTCTAAAACTCAACAAATATATGAAACATCCATAACACCATGAAATACATGGAGTATTCAGGTTATAAAATAGCTTTATTTACTACTGAATAAGATACATATGATTTTAAAATGCAAACATTAAAACATAGGTTAATCAAAAAATAGAGCCCCCCTGTAATGTGGACACCATCAATTGAAGGTTTTCTTTCACACTTAGACACTGCTGGTCTATGTAAGATGTGGTGGAGAGACACTGAGGATCACCAAATCACTCCTTTTTTGGAGAAAAAAATTTTTTTAATTTTCCTCCAAATGTTTGATCACAGCAAGTCAGAGACATGAACATGAGAGTCATGATCCTTTCCCTGTTACTAAATCCCAGCACATTTCAGAATTTACAGGCCCCAGGTTCCAAGTGGAACTCAGTTAGGTTGTTTTAGTGTCAGCACAGATGCAGCCCTTGGCAGAGAGCCTTGGAAGTGGAGCCCAAAGGGGGCCCACCCAGATACTTAGAGACTTGAGGACTGAGCGAAACCTCTGTGATAGTTGCGTGTGCTGGAAAACCATACAGGCGCTCAGGAGTATCTAAATATCATTTCTACCATACTATGGCCATTGCCACCATGGTGACAATGGTTTAGTTGAAAACAGGCAAAATAGGACATTGTTTGAGGGGCACTCTTGAAGGCCACCTCTCAGGGCAGTGATTTTACTATGTAAAATATCTCCCAGGGAACCGTTAAAAATGGAGGGTCATACTTTCCACTCAATTTTACTGTGAACCTATAACTGCTCTAAAACTAAAGTCCATTTTACAAAACAAAACAAAAAAAAGCCAGAGGGTCCAGGTGGCACCAGCAAGAAGGTGGCAGTCTTGTAGTTTCATAAATCTCACAGCAGACGCACAACTTCCCATCCCCAGCCGACGCTTTAGCAGCTGCTATGTTCAGATGCCTACCTGGGCCAAAAGCCAGAGCCATGTTGAGGCCGAAAGAGAGTTACTGGAGGGCCTAAGGCTGAAGGTAAATCATTCTATGTGAATGAGGTGTGGAAGATTATCTACCATCAGTCCAAGAGCAACACCTAAGCCCAAGACCGCACCTTTGCTATATGTAGTTCACCTTGATTCCAAATACTAGTTAGACTACAACAGTCTTTTAAAAATCTCACTAGTGGTTTTAATGCATTTATAGCTATTTTGTCCATAGGAAATTATACCTTCTTTAAAATGGGACTGTTTAGTACCAAAAATTAATTTCACTAATTTTTTTTTGAAATGTCAAATCCTCAGGTTACACCCTCTCCGGTTCCCCAGGTTCTCGCTGAGCAAGTCTGCAATGAAGCGCAAGAGTCTGAGTTTTTACTAAACCTCTGAAGTGGTCTGACACAGGGTTCTGCTGGCCACACTTTGCGAACACTTCCTCCAGGACATAGAACCTGAAAAGACAGCTTTCACCTTCTGACCCGCAGGATGCTCAGATCCAAATCCCAGAATGACCCGAGAGCATTCTTAACTGTTTTTTCATTTGTACACAAAGAAAATTGAGACCTTAAGGCAGAAATACGGAAGAAGGAAAAGAATTATACTGAAAATATTTGTGATTTAATCAATGTACAAAATATAGATGTGGGGGAAATGACATTCATAATCAATAAGTGTTGTTTTCTACCTCAGATACAGGAAAGGAAAAGCATACACTTTAGGGTTTCATAGTCCTTGGTTTAAAAAAAGCAAAGAATGTAAACAGGTTACCACTCTGAAAAATAAAGAAAAATGAAAATCCCCATCTAGAAATGACCCCTTCATTCAAAGGATCCCAACCCTCCAAAGGCTGCAGGTAGCAGAGCTGAATTATACCAGTAGACCAGGAAATAGGAGCTCATTGTGAATATGGACCCATTTATTTTAGTGTGGAACTTAGGGTCTTGCCCAATTTGAATTCACTTTTCTTCTAATCGGGGGAACTCCACCCACTGAGCACATGAGCGTGATGGCTTGAAGAGGAGCATGATGTTTCAACCTCAGGCCAGTTTCCTCCAGTCGTGCTTGAGCTGTGCTTCCATCAGAAGCTCTGCCCCACTTCCTCGTAGTCCTTCTCCAGGGCTGCCAGGTCTTCCCTGGCCTCTACGAACTCCCCTTCCTCCATGCCTTCTCTGATGTACCAGTGCAGAAACGCCCTCTTGGCATACATGAGATCAAACTTGTGGTTCAAGCGGGCCCAGGCCTCCACGATGGCTGTGGTGCTGCTTAGCATGCACACAGCACGCTGGACTTTGGCCAGGTCTCCCCCTGGCATCACTGTGGGCAGCTGATTGTTGATGCCCACCTTGAAACCAGTTGGACACCAATCCACAAAGTGAACAGAGTTCCTGGACTTCATGGCTGCAATGGCCACGTTCACATCTTTAGGGACCACATCCCCTCGGTAGAGGAGGCAGCAGGCCATGTACTTCCCAAGCCGAGGGTCACACTTGACCAGCTGGTTGGAGTATTCAAAACAGGCAGTGGTGATATCGGACACGGAGAGCTGCTCGTGGTAGCCTTTGTGGGCAGGGATGATGGGGGCGAAGGTTGTCATGGGGAAGTGTATCCTCGGATAAGGTACTAGGTTGGTCTGGAATTCAATGAGGTCCACGTTCAAGGGCCCTTCAAACCGGAGGGAGGCGGTGATGCAAGACACTGCCTGAACTATCAGCCGGTTAATGCTGGCATAGGAGGGACGTTCCACGCCGAGTCTGCAATGGCAGATGTCATAGATGGCCTCGTTGTCCACCATGAAGGTACAGTCCGAGTGCTCAATGGTGGAATGGGTGGTGAGGATGGAATTGTAAGGCTCGACCACAGCACTGGAGATCCGGGGGGCGGGATAGACAGAGAACTCCAACTTAGTCTTCCTGCAATATTCTACCGAGAGCCGTTCCATTAAGAGAGATGTGAATCCCGATCCAGTGCCTCCTCCAAAGCTTCGGAAAATCAAAAATCCCTGAAGTCCGCTGCACTGTTCTGCCTGGGAAAAGCAAATGGGATGTGAGAATTCAGCCAAAAAGATTCAGAAGCAGTGAGTTGATGGCAATAATAGGATACAACAAGTTTTCCCCAAACAAAAAAAAAGGTTCAGAAAGGATTGGTTTACCATTGTTAACTCCACAACAAATGTAGCTACTCTGAAATGTACTTGAGTGGTACTTCTGGAGTGGGGGAGCTCTTTAGAGTTTTACTCTAAGCAAAGTGTAAATATTCAAAACTGCCTTTCACTGCCTTGCATGCGTTTATCTGTATGTGATCTCAAGCAAGGCCTTTATCAGTAACAAAGAAAAAAAAATGAGGAGCAAAATATCAAAGTAAAATAACATTCCCCAGCAGTGGACAAAGTGTCTCTCACTTCTGTGCTCCACCTACAGTGCTGGTGTAAGGGGCATTGTATTACCTAACTATTAGGCAAACACCAAAACACTTACTCAGCAAAGATCTCCAGACTCAAGTCCTTAACAGAAGGATTAACTGTCAGTAAATAGAGCACCTTAACCTCCAGGTAGGCAGTGCCTCCTGTTAACTTTACAAATAGAGGTTGCTTTTGGAAAATAACAAGTTGTAGAGTGCTTTGGACGTCTCCGATAACAAGATAGACCCTGTGTTCACAGAAGCAAGGGTAAATGGGGGCTACCCGCTCGGTGTAAAGTCTTCTGTCACCCTCCCCACATGACAAGGTATCATCAAAGCCAACATTTGGACCCTTCCCGGCTCTGAGCACCCACATGGATGCCCAGGTGACAGGGCTGGGTGGCACTAATGGTGAGTCCTGCTGCAGGAACAAGTACCCAAGCACAGCCCAGTTGCAGAAGGAGAGGAGCCACTTGCCAGCTTTCGGATCCTCTCTAGCACCAGGTCGATGATCTCTGAGCCCACTGAGTAGTGACCTCGTGCGTAGTTGTTGGCGGCATCCTCCTGGCCGCTGACGAGCTGCTCTGGGAGGAAGAGGGAGCGGTGCTTGCCAGTCCGGATCCCATCTACAGAGGGTAAAAGGCAGTCAGTGCCCTCAGATCAATTCCACTGTACTCTCTCATCGTTCCCCCAATGTCATGGCACAGGAATGGGATTTATCCTGCTGAATTGACCTTTCTTAGTCTAGGAAAAGGTAGAAATCTTGACACATATATTGAAAGTATGTTTTTCCAGCATACTGACACCCTGAAGTAGTTTCTTAGGGCTACAGTAACAAATGACAACAAACTTGGTGGCTTAAAACTAGAAATTTATTTTCTAACAGTTCAGAAGGCCAGAAGTCCAAAATCAAGGTGTTGTCAGAGTTGGCTCCTTGTGGAGGCTCTGGGGAGAATCCACCCTATACTCCTGTCCTGGCGCCTAGGCACTGCTGAAGCTCCTTCACGCTCTTGACTTGCACCTGCCTCACTCCAAGTTCTGCCCCCACAGTGAGCGCCCTCCTCCCCTGCATGTGTGTCTGCATGCTCTCTCTTCTTCTTATAAGAACACAAGTCTTTGGCGTTAGGGCCCATTGTAATCCAGTATAACCTCATTTCAACTAAGTACATCTGCAAAGACCCTATTTCCAAATAAGGTCACATTCTAGGGTTCTGGGTAGATAGGAATTTGGGGGGGACACTATGCAACCCACTACACACCTATGGCACTTTGGCATTTTGAGACAAGTGTTCCTATCAACAAATAGCCAACTGTGTGCTGGGAACGCACATGGAAAAGCACACCAATCCCAATTATTGTTGGTAAACTTTAAAAGAGGCTTTAAGGCTGAGCAGTATTCCATTGTGTATATAAGTAAAACTAACAATAAAAATTTTAAAAGAATGAAATTCTGCCATTCACAGCAATATTGATGAACTCGGAGAAAATTATGTTAAGTGAAATAAGCCAGGCACAGAAAGAGAAATCCCACCTGTCCTCACTCATAAGTGAGAACTAAAAAATAAATAAGAAACAAACAAACAAAAATCACAACAATATGTTGAACTTTCATAGGAGAGAACAGAACTGTGTTTTTTAGAGGTGGGAAAGGGGGAGAGAGAGAGGAGTTAGTGAGAAATTGGTTGAGGGCCACAAAGAATGATTACGTTTTATAAAGATGAGTATACTAATTATCCAGATTTTATCATCACGTACACAGGTAATGATATTCAGCCCTGTACCCTGAAAATACCTATAATCAATTATGTTTCAAAAATAAATAAATAAAAGAGGCTTTCACAAAGAAGGCCTGGCAGACTCAGATGCCCACATGACTCAGATGCAGGAGCATAAATGAACAAAACAAGGGAAATTGGCGTTAAGATGTCAGCAGGATTAAATGCCCCCAAGAGCAACCTTTGCCTGGTTTCCTTGCCTTTTAAAACCCTGGACAGCATGCCCCATTCTCCCACCTCAGGATCACTCAAATAGTATTATTCCTGATGGTTAAAGCAGCCGCGTGTGAGGGCTACGCAGGCTCTGGGGGATGTTGCCCTGGTTACAGCGGGATACCGCATTGCTTAGCAGCTAAGCGCATGTGTTCAAGAGCCAGTTTCCTGGGTTCATATCTTACCCTTCTCACTTAGCTAGAGAGAAGTTACTTAGTTAATTATTTTATCTTCCAAGTAAATGTTATAATAAGACCTACCCCACTGGGCTGTTATAAAGATAAAATGAGAACATAAGGCACAGGTCACGGCCCATACAACAATTATAGGTAATAAAGATAGAATTGGCTTCATGACATGCATTTACGCAGATTTACCTCATTATTCATCACTGGGCTTGGCAACAGATAGCTGTGTCAGTCCCTGACACTCACAGCCTAAGGGGAGATGCACTGTCTCTAAGAGCAGGATTGTTCTCTCAATTCTCCATGCCCTCCTGTGGGTCACCATGAATTTCTAAACTCCAATTTTGCATACCCCCCCAAATAATTACATTTATTGAAATTGAGTTTAAGTAACTTTTAACTAGCTTATACACAAAAACTCCAAAGTTGGGATATTTAAAATATATTTTATAAACAAGATATAAGTGGCACATAATTCTGGGTGGATTATTTGCTTCTCACCTAAAGCTATAAGGCTGCATTCAGTCTAAGGAGGTAATTTATGAAAGCCTTCTTCTTCATGACAATGTCCAATTGAGATCTTGAGAGTCTGCTGTGGATTAAATTGTATCCCCGCAAGTCCATGTATTCGAAACTTAACCCTCACTGTGACAGTGTTAAGTGGGTGGGGATCCTATTACGGTATTTGAAAGGTGGGGCCTTGAAGAGGTGATTAGATTGCTAAGGACCACGCCCTAATAAATGGATTGATCCATTGATGGCTTAATGGTGGTTGCAGATATGCTTCTGAGGGCTTCAGAAGGAGAAGGAGTGAAAAGTTAGCTCTCTCTCTCTCTGCTTCCACTGTCCACCATGTGACACCTGGCTTTGCTCTGAAGAGTCACTACCCAAAAACAAGGTTCTCACCAGATGTGTTCCCTGGACTTTGGACTTCCCAGCCTCTGAAATTGTAAGCAATAAATATTGTTTCTTCATAAAATTACCCAGTTTTGGGTATTTTGTTATAAGCAACAGAAATGGACTAATACAGAGTCATTAAGTTCATAAATTTTCTCAGTAAAATCTACTTTATCAGAGCTTAGTGGTTATAGCATCTGCCATTCATAAGTACACCCATACCGTCTGTTCTAACTCCCTGGGCACTTACCCACTTTGCTCAAAGACTTCAGTATCTGGCCTAGTGTCCTTCACCAGCATCCTCAGTGGTTTTAAACACATTTATCTGACTGTGCCTCAGCCTCTTCAACTCCAGTTTCATTCAGCTGCACTCCACTTGTATTACCGTCACTCAGAACGATTCCACCTCCAAAATCTTAAACTTGCAAAATCCTTTCTCTGACCACACTTCCCTACTTCCTCTCAGCTATGCCCATGGCACGCCCCCAACTGTCTCTCCAGCCTCATCTCCCTCCACTCTCCTGCTCACACCCTAAGTCCCAGCCACACTGAATGCCCTGCTCACCTTGCTACGTTCCCTCAATCCCGTGAACTCGCCCATGCTGCCCACTCACCAGGAGATGTTGATGACTTCCTAGATGTTGTTGCTTCCATCATGTAGAAATTTCTGTTAGTATTAAGTTGGAGCACATGAAATTGACATTTCATTTCTTTAGGTAAAAAATGGTCATGCATTTGCAATTTTATATGGCTCAATTGAATACATTTATTAGTGTTGTTGTAACTACTTACATTTTCTTCTCCACCAGCTTACGTTACTTTTCCATTAAAAGATAATGGCTTTTATAAGAAGGCAAACTTGGGACCAAGTCCAGTTCTACCCTCAATAATTCAGTGATCTTAAGTGAGTTCCTTAACCGCCCCCAAGACTCAGTTTCCTTATCTATAAACTAAGGATGACAAGTGTCACCTGACAGGACGTTAAGGATTAAAGGGAAATACCTGTGCAGGTCTCAACCAGTAAACTACAGACTGAATGGTTGTGTCCCCCCAAAATGTTGAAGCCCTAATCCCCAATATGATGGCATTCAGAGATAGGGGTCCTTGGAAGGTGATTAGGTCACAAGAATGGAGCCCTCATGAATGGGATCAGTGCCCTTATAAGATGTGACACAGAGAGATGATCTCTTCACCACATGAGGACACAGTGAGACGGTGGCTGTCTGCAAGCCAGGAAGAGAGCCCTCATCAGGAACCAGCCCTGCCAGAACCTTGATCTTGGACTTCCAGTCTCCAGAACTATGAGAAATAAATATTTGTTGTTGAGGCCACCCACACTGTGGTATTTTGTTACAGCAGCCTGGGCAGACTAAAACAGTAGCCTTCATCCTCAAGGGCAGGAATTAGTGTTCATCCATCTTTTTACTCTCATCACCTAGCTGAAATAAATGTTTATTACAATATATTAAATCCCTTCTCATCATGGCCTCCACCCGTCAAGAACAGCTGAAATGACACTATGTGACTTCCAAGGCTAGGTTATAAAAGTGCCATGGACTTCTGCCTTGTTCTCATGGGATGCTTGCTCTTGGAACCCAGCTGTCATGCTATGGGGAAGCCCAAGCAGCCCATAAAGAGTCCCATGTACAGAGGGGCCAAGGCCTAGGTCTCAGCTGACAGCCAGCACCATGGCCCCAGTGAGAGAGAGGCACTTTCAAAGTAGATTCCCTGCCTCCCGCTTGAGTCTTCCTAGCTAGTACCACATGGAACAAAGAGGAAGTACCTTCTCTGAGCCCTACCCAGATTGCTCCTTCATGAGCAAAATAATTATCATTATTGCCTTAAACCACTAAGTTTGAGTGTTGTATTTATTACACAGCAATAAATAACCAATACACAGTATCAAACCCAAATCTACTCCTCTCTCTTACTTTTCTCTTGTGAGACCCCCTTTCTTTCTCCAGTATTTCTCTAGCTCCATTTCAAGAGTGTTTGCACAAGATACTACAAATTCTGCTATTAATAATCATAAAATTCTATTGATTTGCCCCACAATGGTTCCTTACTTCTTTAGGGTCATTTTCAAATATTCTACTCTTTATAAGCAGATAATACCAAATTTTCTGATTCTTTGAGAGTAGCTTCTAGCAAATGGCTCCCAAGCTCAGGAAAAATATTTAGTGTTCTGTCAGGATGCGTGTGTGGATAAATTAACAAGGTTTTAATTCATTTCATCACACAAGGAAAGTGGGGTAACCCGGCCTTCCTTTTGGGTGTGTTTGTCATGCTAATCACCCTGAATGGCTATTGAGTGAACCTCTAAATTTGGGAAAGGTCCATATGATCCCGTTCAGAGAGATTAAGATAAACTGATCATCTCACCCACTTGATGTTCTTGCTTTGACTGCAGACTTGGTTAAATACCCTAGAATGTAACATTTATATTACCCACAACAGTTGGTTCTAAGTCCATGAAGAGTGCTCTGGGCACATGCTTCCCAGCTCTTGTCTCACAAAAGAAGGTATCAAAGGGTCTATTCGTATGCTCCATTCTAGTATTTTCCAGCTGATCCTGTTTACTGTCAAGAATGACTCCGTCTGGCTGGATCCCATGTTCCAGGCAATAGAGCTCCCAGCTAGAGTCCCCAATCTGGATGCCAGCTTGACCAATGTGAATGGAAAGGCACTCCCTCTGCAATGAGCCACAGCGAGTTAGAACTGCACAGACATTTGGATAACACGAGCTGCGTCACTCGGTGCTTCTGGTTACAAATGGCAAAAACCAAGCTAGCTCTAAGCCACAGAGAAATTTATTATAAGATAATCAAAAGTAATGTCTCATGAAAAAAAAATCGGAGACAATTGAACCAAGGACTCAAATTCCATTAAAAGGTTTATTTCCACAATAAATTGAGCACCTATTCTATATTGGGCTAAGAACTGAGTTAATATATATATTTATGACAAGTCAGAATACAACTGATTTAATTTTGCCCTTCTAATATAAGTGAGATAAACATACATATACGTATATATCAGGCTGACTCACCCAGAAAAAAATGTAACAATCATTGGAAAGGAATAAAATCAAAATCAATATATAACCTTGTCAGGTATTAATACCCATTGAAGATAAATTAAACATGGTATCTTTTCATGCCTTGAGATATTACATTTACTATTCATATATCCTCTAAATATGAAAGGACAGTCTAAGCTTAAAAGTAGTGGAAATTTTAACAAAGAAAAATGCAATAGATTTAACAAACCCTCAAAATGTAAAACTTCTTTACCACAACAAACAAATGGAGTCATATAAAAATTGATTTTTATGTAGCTCAAATTTTATGTACAGTACTCGTCTCTTATCCATGGTTTTGCTTTCCATAGTTTCAGTTACCCACAGTCAACCACAGTTCAAAAATGGGTGAGTACAGTACAATAGGATATTTTGAAAGAGAGAGAAACCATGTTCATATAATTTTTATTACAATATATTGTTACAATTGTTCTATGTTATTATTGGTTATTGTTGTTACTTTCTTACTGTGTCTAATTTATAAACTAAACTTTATCATAGGTATGTGCATATAGGAAAAAACATAGTATATACAGGCTTCAGTACTATCCATGGTTTCGGACATCCACTGGGGGTCTTGGAACATACCCCCTGCAAATAAGGGGGACTACTGTACATCAATTTTTTAAAAAACACTTGATTATTAGGTAAGTAGATAAATGACATAAACAAATGAATTACAAAAGAAAGACTATAAAACACAACGATTTAGGCACAAGGGCACTCACAGCATTATAATTTATAAGCATGAAAACCAAGAACCAAACTACTTAATTTACTTAACCATTCATCTGTCGTTGGACATTTTTAAAGAATGGCACATCAATACAATGGAAGTTTACCAAAAAAAGATTTATGACAAGGAAAATGCTTACGATAAAATATTAGGTAAAAAGCATGAAAGACATACAATTGTAAAGAGAGTGCGATGTCAAATACATGAAAAAACAGGCATAGAAAATATCTAAAAGAAAATGCAAAATATTAACGCTATATCTGGGTAGCAAGTGATTTTTTTTTTTTCTTCTCTAAACCTTACTATTTTCTTCCTCCCTCATCAGCTTCCACACCCTCCTATCCCACTTTTAAGTCAACTTCACTTTTTTAAAAAGGTAATTTAAACAAACACAATGATCTATTCTTTAAGAAAGGGAAAGAAAAAGTTAAATTCTGAAGTTAAAATGACAGCATTCACTGACTCTAATATTGCTTCATTTTGATTGCCAGTTGTCCTGGAATGAGTCTATGAGGACCTGTCTTCTGCACCATCGGGGCTCTTCAAGCTGTTTGACCTGACAAGCTGAGGGACAACCCTGCGCCCATCTATGGCTACACTGTTCCAAAGCCTGAGCATCAATACAGAGACCCCAGGCCTGCGGTCTATGCCAACCACTAGTCGGGGGAGGGAAAGAACGAGGAAACAAGAGGGCTCTGCCGGGCCACACCCCTGCAAAGTGACTTGGACTCTGTTCATGCTCAGCAGCATTAAACCCTTGTACTGTGTGATTCAGGAGTAACACAGCCCTCTCTGCTGCATGAGAAACAATCTTGCGGGCCGAGCCCGTGGCGCACTCGGGAGGGTGCGGCGCTGGGAGCGTGGCAGCGCTCCCGCCGCGTGTTTGGATGGGATCCTATACAGGGATGACCGGTGCGCTCACAGCACTCACTGGCTGAGCGCGGTGTGGCCGCTCTCAAAAAATGACAAAAAAAAAAAAAAGAAAGAAAAAGAAACAATCTTGCTTCTTCTCTGTGCAACTGTCAGTCTCTCATGACAAAGGCTGCAAACTTAATTTAGAAAGCACTTCGGTTAGGCCCAACTAACAATCCAATCTTTCTGGTACGTAAAAATCAGAAAAACGCATTCCATCAGAAACAGGTTCCCCTTATCTGCAAAGCACAGTGTCATTCTTCTCTGTTCCTGTCGACTTCAAATACGTGAATACCTTAGCTACTGTAATCAGATCAAAATTTGGTTCTCTATATTCGAATTTAAAAAGGGGAGGAGGGGTGTTCATTGTTGCTACATCAGGAAAACTTCTTAAAATCTACCTTTAGACTTCTCCCATTGATTCCCTCCCTCAGCTGCCTACCAGTTTACTGACAAGTAAAATTAAAATCTACACGTGATATTTGCTCACACTATTCACAGAAAAATAATCACTAAAATAAAAATAAACAATCGCTGCTCTTCACATGCTCTGGTGTCCAAGACATCAGAGTGCTACTGTTTCTTTTGAACTTAACAGTAATAACTTAGTCCAACAAGCACCCTTCTTGGTTTTAGAAGCAGCTATGCTTATAACTGTGACCAAAGGTGTAGAAGAATGCGTTCACCTTATTCTTCTCTTGGCCTCCCCCTCCTTTCCAAATTCTCCACTAAAATATTAGTCACACTCTAATATAAAATTGCAAAATGCCCACTGAATGTCAACTTTGCTAAACCGCTGCACATTATCAAATGCTGCTATAAAGCTTGTCTGAATTACTAGCAAGGTATACTTTTTTAATTAAACTTTTAATTTTGAGATCTTTGTAGATCCATATGCATTTGTAAAACATAACAGAAAGATCCTATGAACCCCTTACCCATTTTCCCCCAATGAAAATATATTGTAAGACTATAACACTATATCACACCCAGAATGCTGACACCACTGATACAGTCAAGATACAGAACGTTTCATTACCACAAGCATCCCTCATGTTGGAAGGCATAATTTTTTTTTTTTTTTTTGGCAGCTGACCGGTACAGGGATAAAACGTCAGATGTTGCTGTTATCAGCACCACACTCTAACCAACTGAGCTAACAAGCCAGCCCAGACATCATTTTTGTGAGCAAAACAACTTAAACATCCTTAAAATTTTGGAGACAAAATCCAATGGGGCAAGAAGATCAAAGATGTAAAAGCAGTTTGAAAGACTGCTCCCATTAAAGAATTAAAAATTCTAAGATACTAAAAAGTACTGTGACTCACACAGAAGAGATCAAAGGGGAAGTGGATTTTAAAAGATGGTCCCAAGACAGAACCATTGTTAATAATTATATTCACTATTGAACCCAAAGAACTAAACTCGAGAGGACAAAGATGTCTGTGCACTTTACCCTGCCACGTATTTATGAGCTTAGCAATGGAAACTTGAGTCTGAAGTCCCCAGAAACTCTGAAAGCATAACTAAAAGTGAAGCAATTGATTTCTACAGAAAAATCAGCACACCCTGTCTAAAACAGACGTAAAAACTACAGGAAAGAGAGGTCCTTGCTTCAGCGCTTCACTTACAGGCTGTGAACAACTGCAAATCAACTCAGCTTTACCTTGAAAGAAGCAATGCTACAGATGAATAATTACAGCTATCCAAACAGGCTTCCGACTTACATACACACGGATATCGAAAGAAACAAATGTCTCTTTAAAAATTGCTTAGGCTGGCTGGTTGGCTCAGGTGGTCAGAGCGTGATGCTGATAACACCAAGGTCAAGGGTTCGATCCCTGTGCCATCCAGCTGTAAAAAAAAAAAATTCTTCTTCTGTGTTAAGAATTTATTAAGAATTGTTTGCTGGGGGGAAAGAGCCAAATATGATAGTAAAATTTGCTAAAGACCAAATCAACAATGTGCAGGTACCCACTTACCATGCTGACGTGAACCCCACAGACTGCCTTGTGGTAATGATCAAGGAGGTTCCCAGCTCACCTTTATCACAGCACAGGGAAATGACTCCACCTGGGGCCTGAAAAGCTTTCCTCACTTAAAGCAGTACAGCCTCTTTATTGTTTTTCAGTTCTCTGGCCTCAAAGTAGTTATGTTGGGCCTGAACAACCTGTGATAAAGTGTTGCTTTGCTTCCCACAGATTTGTCACCCCTCTTCCCCTGGGTGACAGAGCCACAAAAGATTACTCAAAGCCCATCTCTTCTGAGCATTGAGAAGCCCTGAAGGAGTTAATCTCCTGGAATGCCAAGAGCAAGGTTCCTTCCTTGGGAAATTAACCACAAATTGGGGTTCTCTTCCCAAACTTATTCTCCAGACCAGGAAGTTAAAGGAAGAGAACATAGGTGGGGTTATAGTTTAACAATATAGGTTGGTAACATTCAGTAAAACAAGCAAAGTGACATTCCATAATGCAATTTGCAAGAGATTAAGTCAATTCACCAACAAAAGTTTGATCTTAGCAAACATTCTCTCTCCCTACACAATTTCCCAGTATCTTTACACATCAGTAACTTGTCTGTCCTTTAGCCAGCAACCTTGCTGTGTTACAATTCTTTGTCTTACAATAGAGACTAGCCTGGGGAAAATTTCCTGTCTTTTGCAAGGTCAACATTTTATATGCACTTTTAAGAAGTTAGGCTAAACCTGAAACTACAAGAAACTAGGCTCTGTGAAGTATATTTGCTTTATAAATATTGGTATATTGCACAATAAAGTTTGTGCACAACTACTTATGAGTTAAGGGAAGCTTATCCAAATCAGCTTCCAACATATACCTAT